CCTATTTAGGTACTTTAGGGCCAATTTATATACTATTTAGGTACATGGACCCTTAGGGGTCGGGAATCGGGCCTGGGGTTTCGGATTGTGCGCTGGTGGCTGTGGATTTAGATTTCGTTTCTGGGCTCTACCTCTAGGCTCATACCCTACCCCTTTTTTTAGGTTACCTACATTTTTGCATAAGAGATCCGAACCATAAAAGCTAGGTACCTTACAAAAGGGCTAGGCTTGCAGGATCGACTCCAGGAGAGGGCTTGGGGTCTTCGAAGCACTGGCCTACCTAGAGGTTTAGGGCTTAGGGTTTAGGGTGGATGGTTTAGGGTTTAGGGTTTAGGGGTTTAGGGGTTTAGGGTCTAGGGCTGAGGGTTCAGGGACCCCAAAGTCTAGCGCCCTTTTTTTTGGAGGGAGCACAAAGTTATGCTGAGGATCCTATTAAGTATCAGAAACTAAGGTATATTCGAAACTTGGACTGCATTAAAGGGGCAAGGCACAGGGTAAGTTCAGGGTTCAGGGATTTGGGTTTTTGGGTTTGGCTTCAATGCCTGACAGACTATAAGTACATATGTTTCGCACCACAAGCCTTATCTTGGCTTCCACGACCCCCAAATGCAGTGTTTTTGGGGCACCTGTGCTTCGCTTGGTCAAGCACATCAGCTCTGAGCAGAAGCATGGGTCCGGTCTTCCTGCATCGGCATCTGAATCGCCTGACTCGATGTCTGAGTCGCTCTCAGACACTGCCGCTTCAGCTTCTACTGCGCCGGCCCCGTCGGCAGCACTACTACCATCAGAACGGTGCTTCATGACACCTCGGCCGACTGCGTCGAGCAGGTGGAGGTCATCATGGAACCGCAGCCTGGATGACAACCTAGTCTTCCACGCCAAATGCCGGTCGACAGATGCACCGCTTTCCTCCAGCATGGCCCCATCAGCAGCAATCGTCTCCTTTCCTCCATAGGAGGCTTGGCCTGCTTTCTCATCTCCTTCTGCTTACTGCATTCTTGCCGGAGAACTACGGTTGATGGTATAAATCCTGCATTATCCATAAGAAGGAATATTTATTGTTCCCATAGTGTCGGGTCCTTAAGGTCATGCAGGATTTCTATCATCAACAGCAGCTTCCCTGTTGCTTTCACCATGCCCTCTTGAAACCCTAATCCATAATGTAGTTGCTGAGCTCAGTATGGGTAATTTCAGTTCTATAGGGTTTTAATCTACTCCCAAGCAGGGCATAGTGTCATGGACTCATTCACCTACCAAGATAAACCCTAAACATAGGCCTCTTCCAACCTGCGACCACCGAAGCCGAGCATGTCACAGGGAGCCGGATTCGTCCCCCTTAAACCTTCAAGTGCCCTTGTTTTGACCCTGTACATCCACCGTGGAAGCCAAAACAGCCTCTATCCTCCATGGAAATTCTGAGACAAGGGCCTTAATGACAAGACTATAATATATTCTATAGTAGAGCCAAACTAATGAACTAGGAAATAATATACGTAAAGAACTCCTACACCGACATAGTGGATCCTTTAGGGTTTCGGGATTAAGGAAAAAGGCTCAATCAGGGTTTAGGGTTTGGGGTTTAGGGATTAAGGGAACAGGGCTTAATTAGGGTTTAGGGATTAAGGGAAAAGGGCTCAATTAGGGTTCAGGGTTTAGGGATTGAGGAAAAAAGCCTCAATTAGGGTTGAGGATCTAAGGATTAAGGAAAAAGGTTCAATTAGGATTGAGGGTTTAGGGATTAAGGGAAGAGGCCTCTACAAGGGTTTAGGGTTTAAGGGAAAACGGCTCAACTAGCATTTTCGAGTTTGCGGCTCTTTGGGCTTTCGGGGCTTTCGGGGTTTATGGCGCTTCCAGGGCTTATAGGGTTCATACGGCGCAGGAGGCAAACGACAGTGTCCGAAAGCTCTAAGGCTCAAGCCCTAATGCAGGGCCCTTAGATATTAGATCATAGTTTTGTGTGGCTGCAAGTGGTCGTTATTGCCACTTCTCCGAGCCTTTATTCAGACCCCGAGAAGTCTAATCCCGAAACCCTTATCCAAAACACGACAACATAAAAGCATATCCCTAGGCCACAGACCCTGCGCCCGAAACCCTAAAGCAAAATCCTAAACTGCTCCTAAACTCTAAACCTACAAGAACTCAACTCTACATCTAAACCCCACAGCCAAGAATCCTAGACCTGGACCGCTAGACCCTAAACTCTGAATGCCCTAGCCCTCGTACGTCCCTCGTGGACACCGTATAGAAGCCTTTCAGAATTTTTTTTATGGAACCCGAAGAAACACCTCTAAAGCAGTTACAGTAAAAGCCAGAAAGTTGGAACATCACGATCCTCATGCCCAGAAGGCAAAATATTCGGCATCCCAGCACGAATCACCTGATCATTGTATATCCATGTCCCAACTTTGCGGGGCTCACTCCTTCAAACCCTAAACCCTAAACCCTAAACCTTAGCCATATCTAGGCCTCTATGCCAAAACTGCTCCCGAGGAGAGCACTCTTTTGAGACATCGAGGATGCCATCTTGCGTAGGCTCACTACCTTGAAGGGGCTTTGGGTTCAGGGGTTAAAGGTTAGGGTTTAGGGTTTAGGGTTTAGGGTTTTGGGTTCAGGCTTTTGGGTTTCGGGTTTTGGAGCTTTAGGGGTTTACGTAACCCCAAAGACCTACCTACATCTTTAAGGACGTGTAGAAGGAAAGCATGACAAGGAACCCCTAAAATGGTTGGGATCATAGGGTTCCGGTATCTCGCAACTATGAAGGCACCTCTAACTAAACCCTCAACCCTAAACCCTCAACCCTAAGCCCTAAACCCTAAACCCTCAACCCTAAACCCTGAACCCTGAACCCTAAACCCTGAACCCTAAGCCCTAAACCCCAAATCCTAAACCCAGGCATCCTCGAAAAGTAAGGCAACCCTGCCGAATAGAGGGCCTTGGGAGGGGAGGCTGGAGAGGCTCGTGTGGCTCTGAACCTGGAGACTACAAATGCCCACAGAGTATAGAGGGTTTAGGGTTTAGGGTTTAGGGTTTAGGGTCTAGGGTTTAGGGTTTAGGGTTTAGAGTTTAGGGTTTATAGGGATTTTTTTGGGGCTTAGAGCATGTGGGGTTTAGGGTTTCGGATTTAAGGTTCCGGGTTTAGGGTTCAGGCTGTAAGGTTTAGAGCTTAGGGTATACACTTGAGTCGTGAAGGGGGCCCTTTGCAGGTACCTTAAGGCCTGAGAGTATATACCATACCAAAGATATATGGGGTAGTTCTCTAAATTGGGCTTCGTTTTCAGGTCCCCCGAATAGCACGGCAACCCTATAAAGAGGAACCTAAAAGGAACCCATACGGTATAGGTAACTGGCCTATTTTCTCTGATACACCCGGATAACCGAGGCTGAAACTTAATCCCAAGTCGAGGATCGGCCCTGATCCCTACAAGGGTACTCAAAAAACGGCTTGGGTTTAGGGATGTTTAGGGTTTAGGGCAGAGAGCTTATATTCTGGTTGCAGTTCAGCGCAGTTCGCCAAGGGTGCCGGAATGGCACCCCGCGCGGCTGCTCACGTCCTAGCTGCACATTCTCCTGTTCGAGGGTCCTTTCGCTCGGCCAGCACCTGGACTTCAATGATGTGCTCGACTCTGAAGAATACGGAGGGATACACGAGCGCTGGCGCAGCGCAATATGTTTTCCCGGAACCCTAAACCCTGAACCCTAAACCCTAAACTCTAAACCGTTGGTGGGAGGGGGTGGGGGCAGCGCGCAGAGGCACCCAAAGCCAGCAGGGACTGCAGAAGTCAGAAGTCGGACGAAGTAGCTTTAGCCGCTGTAGAGCAAGGGTTTAGGGAAACCCAAAGCCCAACACCCTCAATAATAGGTGTGCTCGGCACGGCGTGCCGACGATGTGATTGCACACTCAATTCTACCCTATGCAAAACCTCACAATCCCAATTCTAAACCCTATAAACCCTATAAACCCTAAACCCTAAACCCTATAAACCAGATAAACCCTATAAACCCTAAACCCTATACACCCTAAACCCTATAAACCCTATAAACCCCAATCCTGAAATCGAAGACCCGGAACCTGAACCCGAAACCTCAGACCCTAAATGCCACGACCCGAAACCCTAAACCCTAAAACCTAAAAACCTAAAGTGCTGGCATGTCGGAGATTTGCTGGCTTGAAGAGTCGAATGCGTTCCTGCAGCCGTGACCGTCCGGGCAGTGTGCAGTGGTCTTCATCTTAGCTTCAAGCTTAAATTTTCGGGTTGCAGGGTTTAGGGTTGTAAGTTTAGGGTTTCGGGCTTCGTTGAGGGTTTAAGGGTTTAGTCACGGCTCAGAGTTTCCCAGCATCTTTTTTGCAGTCCCTTGCAGGCACTTGTGGCTAGGAGCCGTCAAGAGGGGCGTGGGAGAGTTCGATGGTTGGGTTGGGAACATTCTGGGGGCGCGGTGCTGTGTTGTGAATCGGGATTAGCAGACAGACTCTGCTAGAAGTGTACACATCTTGGGGGCTATAGAGACTGTTTTATCACCCTAAACCTTTTCTTTGCGCATCAGCAATACGGACGCGGCATATGCGAGTAGAAGCACGGAGCCTGCCGCCACGGTAATATAGGGGCCTTAATAATAAGAATAGGGTTTGGGGACCCATTATACTATAATCATTATAAGGAACCCCCAGAATAGTATAGGTCATTATTTAGGCCCCTATATTACTTCAATCCGTAACCCAGAGAGCCCAAGATCAGTGCCTTCCCTTCAAATTGGGGTCATATCCCTGGTAGTTGCTGGGTCACCAGACCAGAAAGAATACACTTTCGGTTCTATGGGGCAGAACATAAAACCCCGTCCAGCCACTAAGATCTTAAGCTCTGAAGGGCTAGTCTTAAACTTTAAGGTATCACCCTAAACCCTAAACCCTAATCTCCCTGAAGTACAGGGCTCTCGGATGATAAGCTGCAGGCACCCGCACTTCTGGGAGGTGCCTGTGCTTCAAATGGGACTCTTGCCATGCTCTACGTCCCCACAGAAGGCAACCTGGGCGGAATCTGAACTGAAAGGATCAGTGGGGGCATCGCCGATGACTACGGTTGATGATATAAATCCTGCATTATACCCATAATAAGGAATATACCATAAGTCCCATAGTTTAGGGTTCTTACGGTAATGCACGATTTATATCATCACCAGTAGCATATATTTGGGACGTTCAGGAAACAGGAGATCCGGAGAAAAAGCCCAAATATAGCAGCATCCTTGTCATAAAGGCCCTGAAGAAGCTAGCCCTTACTTTTAAGAACCCTGCATTTGGTGCTGCAAATATCCAGCATCATTCAGAAGCTTAATATATTAAGGGGCCTTCATAATGAGAATAGGTGTTTTGGGTCCCCTTGTGCTACAATCATAACAAGGAACCCTAACCGTAATATCGGTAATTATCTAGGTTCCCCAGTAGGCCCTTAATCATAAGGGTACCCTTGTTCCTACTATTCGACTTTAAGAAGGGAATCCACAAAGAACAAGGGCAAAAGGGTTCTACTGGGGAACCTAGTAGAGGTTTAGGGTTGATGGTTTAGGGTCTAGGGCTGAGGGTTTAGGGACCCCAAAGTCTGGCGCCTTTTTTGGGAGGGAGCACAAAGTTATGGTGAGGATCCTATTAAGTATCAGAAACTAAGGTATGCTTCTAGGTTAGCTATGCTTCGCTGAGTCTGGCAGCTGAAAGATCGCTCTACAGGGCTTGCAAGTGGTCGAGACTTCTGTGCACATTCGGGGTTGAGAGTTTGGGGTTTAGGGTTGAGGGTTTAGGGTTTATAGGGTTTAGGCTTTACTAGGGTTTAGGACTTAGGGCTCAGGGTTCTATGATGACTTCCCCCCCCCACTGAAAGATAAACCTCACTCGCAAGCCAAAGCTCGTAAAACTGCAGTGCTACTAAACCCTAAACCCTAAACCCTAAACCCTATCATAACTTTCCGCAGCATCCGAAACCCTCAACTGAACCATGGCCAGTCGGAAAAAACAGCAACAACTCGCAGTAGTAATAGTAGTAGTAGTAGTAGTTGTTGTTGTTGTTGTTGCTGTTGTAGTTGCAGTACTCTTATTCATAGCGCAGAAAGCTCCAATACAAGTACCAAGCTCGAAACCTGCGCATGCACATGGACCCTGTGCCGGAATGCCCTGATTTGGCTAACAACAAAGGTCATTGCAACCCAGGGCCCCCAATCTTAACTCAGAAATCCTGAACCAAAATCTACCTATAGTCTCCATTGTAGTTTCTTTTAATGGTTTAACCAAGTATATATCAAGGATTCTATAAGGGATCCCCAAAAAGGAACTACAATGGAGACTATAGGTAGACCCTGAGTTCTAAATCACAAGCCCCAAACACCTAATACTAAAGTTTAAATCACAAACCCGAAACCCCAAAAATCCAAGTCAATATCGAAGTGCTAGGTAGACCCATTAGTAACCCACAGGCTCTGTCCTTATTTTAACCCGGAAGGAAACCCGTATGCTAGAGTCGATGGACGGGCGTTTTCGTTTGGACCAGACAGGCAAGGGGGCAATTACAGGCTTGCCAGGAGGGTTTTTAAGTAGGGTTTCTAGGCACGGTATAGGGTTGAGGGTTTAGGGCTTTGGTTTAGGGTTTGGGGATTAAGGTTTAGGGATTTATAGGGTTTATAATAAGGTATAGCCGAAAGCCCTATATGGTCTTCGGGGACCCAATTCCAGAAAGGTCTTCAGCCTGATCTGAAGCCTCGGGTAGAGGTCCTGATATGGAGTGCTTTCGTTTTAATGCTTCAGATACTCATGGCCCTGATAATGGGGGCTTGAATGTCGCTAAACCTGATCCCAATTCGGAGAAATGGTTTCGGAAGAAGAGCTGGATATACTCATCAAAATGCCACTGCGCTTGTCTATCGTGGCAACCATCACTCAGCGTGTCCTGAACCACCGTGGCTGAGCTGACATGCTCTGCATTCGTAGGCAGGGGGAGACATCCAAGGCTCGGTGCATTACACTACCACTATGGAATTAGGTCCCAAAGGGCCATCCTTATTAATTATGGTTTCGGGGACCTGATTCCATAATAGTAGCATATGGACCCTCTTGGCAGTGCACCTCATTCAAAGACAGGGATGCCAGTGTCCAGATTATGTTTTGCTGCCTCATGCGTGTAGACGCCAAGCCACTTCTCTCAACGAGTGCACCATTCTGTGCTGGGGGATACTTCCCTAAAGTATAACTGTAATTCCTAACATAGAAACCCTACATTCTACCATTTATGTACTTAGGAACCCTTAAAGGGACCCGAAACCCTAAACCCATACAGGAACCCTCGGAACAAACGCAAAGATCGGTACTTTGGACCCTTTGGGATTAGCGCGTGTTTCGGCTTACCACTGCTTGACCAACGACAGGGGAGAAAGCACAGCTGGACGAAGGCCATGCAAGCGCCCTTGTGAGGGTTTAGGTTTTAGGGGTTTGAGGTTTAGGCGCATAGGGGCTTAGGGTTCAGGTGTTTAGGGTTCACGGGTTTAAGCTTTTAGGGTGATGTCCAACAGCATGAACTCAACTTTAAAGCCTAAACAGTAGCATCCCTGTTGTCCGCGCCCCGAAGAGGAAAGATTTGCACCAATACTACGAACACGGATTACGGAAATAATTAATACAGACCCTAATTGGTATTTGCAGGAGCCTTGTTAGTGTCGGTAACCCTACTCAATATACCTCGAAGAACCCCACACACACACACATATGACAAACGGGCCGGAAATCCGAAAAATCCTTGCGAAACCCGATTGAACACATAAACAACCCTTAGCCCTTAGTCTTCTTATAGATCTATGAATCTACGAATCAAAACATCTTACGAATGCGATAAAGGGAAGCCTCTAATTCTGTCTGTAAGTGCCCAGTAGCAGCTGCCTGGCATCCTTGAGCCGTGGTGTGTGCCTTAGATCCGCAGAGCTCTGACTTGACTTCCGTAAGTTGAGGGTTTCGGGTTTAGCATCTGTTTGAAGCGCTGACCTAAATAAAAGGACGCGCTGGCCCTAAGGGCAGCCAGCTCAACCGAACAGGCACGAAAAGCAAGCGTCTTCCAGGCACTGACAACACCACGTGAAGGTCCCTTTATAGGATGTCTTTCCTGCTGGCCGAGTGGTATGCGGGTGAGCACAGGTTGTGTATGTGTTGTTTGTGCTCGCTTTGCTTGTTCAGGTGTGCCAAAATAGAGCTTCGGGTTGGGGATTGATCCAGGCGCTGTTCTCAAGCCCCAAATCTAAACTCCAAACCCATCGTTGCCGCTTGAACAACCCTAAAAACGTTGACAACAAAATCGCTGAACCTGAACCCTAAGCACAATATTGCGGCTCTCTACCCGGAGCGCATCGTTGAAGCCCTCTAGTCCATCCAGTTTTGCTCGAGCCTGGAACAAACGACATTTCGGGACGAAATGTACCCTTCAAGTTTGAGGTTCTTTCGCCATGTAAACAGTATTCATAGGACAAAGGCATGTGGCCTCCGCTTTTCGGGGTCATTTAGGTGCAGGAATGAGCCCCAGAGCCAAGACTCTACCTAGAGTGACCGTGTAGGTTTGGTAGGCGTGTACCTAGAACCTAGAGTGACCGAGGTATCCAAAACAAGGGAAGCCTACCTCTCAGCTTGTGGTCACTGCCTTCTTTCAGGGTACACTGGTTCCTTATCCCTGAAATCCTGAAGTCTGTGCAGTCTCGAAGGAGAGACAGGTTTCAGTGTCGAGGGCTTCGGGCGTAGGGTCTAGGAGATGCAAGACATAATGTAGAGGCGTTAATTATTACACTAGGGCTTGGGGTAAGGAACCCCCAAAATACTACAGGTAATTATTTAGGCCGATATAGTATAGGTCTACAACCGCAGAGACAATCCAAAGGTGTCAGCTCCCAAATAGTACGGTGTGGGTCAGGCACTCAGCAAAAAAACACTTCAAAGCACAGATTTTGAGACCGAAACCGGTGCTGCCTGAGTACTCTGAGGGCGCCCCGACAATGGGGTTCAAGGTTCAATTACCATATTATAGGCAGTCACAGTACAAGTCTACTTTCATGGGTCATTGGGTCCTTATGCTCTGAAGCCCAGGGCACCAGGTGCCCACCGAGGGAAGGTGTCTCCAGCTCCGGTGCAGAACCGGCGGCTCTTCGACGCTTTGCTGCTTCGATGCCATGGGAGCTTTTTCCTGCAAGCTCACGGAAGTAAGTGTTTAGGGTTTAGGGTTTAGGTAAGCAAGTGGATGCCGGAGATATAGATACCACAAAACATGGAGTTATTCACATGGCAACCCGTCTTATGTCACCTGCATACGCAGCACAGATTGGCTTTAGGCCTTTTTGGGCGAAACGGTTTTCAGAGCCACGGGCAAACCTTAATTACATAATTATCCTTTGGGTTCCTGAGTGTAAATGATTTTTATATACCCCCAAGCACTACCCTAATGATTTAAGCCGCTCTCCCCGTATAAGCATATGCTGAGGCCCAGAAGCTACATACACAAGGGTTCAGGGTTTAGGGTTGTAGGGTTTAGAGTTTAGGATAAAGTCATTACCACTCTTTACAATGCATATACCTAGATGACCAAGCATATACTCACCAAAGTCCCCATCTGCCATCATCAAAATCTTTCCATATTGCCTAATTGGTCCATATAAAATTACCTTTTGCACCTGAAACCTTTGGGAACAGGAGCCGCGGGCAAACACATAAACCTAAGCTCTAACACACAAAACCCTAAACCCTAAACTCTAAACATGCTACTCAACACCCTACCACCCTCAAGAACCCTAACCCTGAGGCTCCAGGTACCTAGAAATAATAAAAGCCCAGGCATTACAGCACCCCTCTAGGAGGCCCTCATGGGCACACGGAGCCTTAAAGCAAGCTTCCGTAACGCCAACCACCCCAAAAAAAAACAAAAAAAAACCCTCAACCCTAAGCCCTAAACCCTAAACTCGTAAACCCTAGACCCTAAACCCTACACCCTAAGCCCAAAGACCAAAGCCCTGGACCTGAACCCCTAAACCCTAAGCTTCCCTAAGCCCTAAACCCCTAAACCCCTCAACCCTAAGCTTCCCTAAACCCTAAACTCCTAAACCCTAAACCCTAAGCCCTAAACCATGGCAGACCAACGTTGGGGCCTCCGATCCGCGAGCTTTCTCGGTGCCCCGCGCGGACAAGAGACCTTAGTGCTCAGGATTATGGACTTCAAAGGTTGGGGTTATGAGGGCTTAGGGTTTAGAGGGTAGACCTTAGGGCTTAGGATTATGGGGCTTAGGGTTGAGAGGGTAGGTTTTAGGGTTTGGGGTAGGGTTTAGGGCTGAGGGTGTAGAGGTTTAGGGTTTAGGGTGTAGAGCGTAGGGTTACGGTTTAGGGTTTAGGACTACGGGGATTAGGGTTTAGAGGGTAGGGCTCCGGGCTTAGAGGGCAGAGTTTGGGGTTTAAGGTTTAAGGATGGAAATGCAGGTTCAAGGTTTATTCAGGGTTTATGTAGTAAGGCCATAGAGCCAAGCATAGTGTAATGACAAGAGACCTAACCTCGGGCTCTAATTACAACCATAAGGGCGCATATACTCATGTGGTACAACTTTAGGGCCAAAGTATGTAGTATATGTGTCTTACGGGTTCTGTAGGCTTATACAGGTAGCTACACTGTAATGCACTACCCCGCATCACATCATGACACATTACCCCGCAATACATTCGTATATTCCTCCTGGCCTACACACATACATACATCCATGCACTCATGCATCGAGGCATGCACTTTGCGTGCATGTATACTGCAGCAGCGCGTGTTACATTCACACAGTTATGCATGGGTACATGGATATAGCGATAGATATATATCCAGGTACACCGGTATACAGATACATCGCACGTAGATAGGTAGATAGATAGACAGGTAGATAATTGGACAGACCTGGACAGATAGATAGATAGATAGATAGATAGAAAGACAGATAGATAGATAGATAGATAGATAGGGATAGATGGATAGATGGATAGATGGATAGATGGATAGATGGATAGATAGATATATAGATAGATAAACATATAGGTAGGCAAATTCAGAGCTAACATATCCATACAAATATGCATGCATGCACGCACGCACATAAACGAAAAGGCAACTACGTACATATCTACATACATACATACATACATACATACATACATACATCTCATTCATTCATTCATTCATCCATTCATTCATACATACATACATACATACGTACATGCATACATACATACATACATACATACATACATGCATACCAACATACATACATGCATACATTCATACATACATAGTTAAATAAACAAACAAGTTATATTTATATATATGCATACATGCATACATGCATACATACATGCATACATACATACATACATAGTTAAATAAACACACAAACATATATATATATATATATACATATGCATACATGCATACATACATACATACCTATAAACATACAGGCATGCATACATACGTGCATGCATACATACGTACATACATACATGTACATCTACATAGACACACATACATTCGTACATACTTCCTTGCGTACTTGATTACTTATGGACATATGTACATGTGTAACATGCGAACATACTACACTTGCATACTTACAGTATCATGTATGTTGCATACATGCATGATCTGCATGCAAAAAGAGACGGAAAGAAGGAGGGACCGAGTGAGAGGGAGAGAGAGGAGACAAACAGACAGAGCGAGAGACAGACAGACAGAGAGAGAGCGAGAGAGAGAGGGAGTGACAGAGGGAGAGAGAGATGGATAAAAAGATACAAGGGAACACCAAGGAGATGAGTTCCCAGGAAAAAAAGCAACTGCAAGTGTTTTTGGCAGGTTCTGGTTGTTAGGCTCCTACCCTAGATCGCACATAGTCGGATCCGTAACAAGGTGACCCCAAATTTCAGACTGCTCCTTGTCAGTAAGGACTTTAGAAGGGACCCCTAATCCCATTACCTTAAATAACCATTGTATAGTCCTTATATACCCCTTATATAGCCAGGTAGTCTCCATATTAACCCCAGTAACCTACACCCTCCTAAAGCGCTTAGACTGTCAGTGGTAAGTGCACTCTGAGACACAGCCCAGCTGTCGCTCCTGAGCGAGACCTCGGGCGACGGTGATCTCCAGCTCATGCCTGGTCTTTCATCGCGGTGAAGGCAGCACGCGCGCGCGTTTCTGGGCTCAGTTAAGGGCTGCTCCGACTACACCTAACCCCTAAACCCTAAACCCTAAACCCTAAACCCTAAACCCTAAACCCTGTAAATCCTATCCAAGTTTCGGCCTTCAGGCTCAGGCTTTAACCGTGGCTTATCCAACGAGCCAAGCGGTAAGGTTTCAAGTTTCAAGTAGGTCCTCAAAACTATGCTCTGCACGATTTTGGGCATCTCAAAATGATACTTTTTGGCGACTTGGGCGATGTGGGGCGCGTATCCAAGTGCTTTGGTGTCTATGGCATGTAGGACAAGTCTATGGTGCAGGCCTTGGGGTTGTGCGTCGCAGGCGTCATTTCTCCGAAATGCTAAATACTATCTGCGCCGAAACATGACTAAGCCATGCTTCACCCAGAGGGTCCATAGGCACTACCATGATGGAATTAGGTCCCAAAAGACCATCCCTATTATGGTGTTGGGAACCTAATTCCATTTGCTTCAGGCATCTGTCCTACGAGTTTGAGGGACAAGGCGACGGTGCTGCAAAGAGAGGTGTCAACTGTCAACCATAACCGTCATGCATGAACGGTACATCTTCCACAAACGTTGACATCTACCATCCACCCTATCTACTTAGGGATGCCGTTCCTAGCTGTTACAAAGCTGTTGTTCCCTAGATTCCGGCATCGATGACTATAGTGCGTATGACAGTGTCCTAACCATAAACAGGTTCGCCAAGCAACTAAGCTGCATTGCAGGGCATAGCTAGGCAAAGCCCGAAACAAGTGCGGCCGAGAGCGCAGGGTATCCGAGCTATCGGGCAGGGGCTCCACATCGCCAACAAAATACTCCTCCGCCCACGGTTTAGGGTCAACGGTGATATTATGAAGCCCCGGAGGAGCTTTAGAAGTTGGAGCTTAAACCCTAAACCCTAAACGGCCCTAAACCCTAAACCCTAAAGCCTTAAGCGGCATTAGTTTTCTTTCTTGACTGCAAAGGCTGCTTCTCCAAAGGGCCACGAGCGCTCCACAGAAGGCCTACGTATAAGGTAACCCGAAAAAGGAACTACTTTAGGGCCTATGGGTACGCTCAAGAGCTCTCGTTCTGACTTGGGTTTAGGGTTTTAACGGCTTCTTAGGGCTTTAAGGGTTTAGGGTTCAGGGTTTGTGGTTTAGGTGTTTAGGGTTTAGGTGTTTAGGGTTTGTGGTTTAGGGGTTAAGGCTTAGGGTTTAGGGTTTAGGGTTTGTGGTTTAGGGGTTTAGGGTTTAAGGGTCTAGGTGTTTAGGGGTTTGTTAGGGTTTAGGGTTGAGGGTTTAGGGTTTAGGGGGATATCAGCGACGAAAACTCAGGAGGAACTTGACTCACTAGGCTCAGCACAGGGTTCAGGGGAGGATGGGAGCTGAAAACTTCGCCATACCCGCCACCCACGGCAAACATGCCAGCCTACAAGAAACCGTAAACCCCTGGATACTACTTACCCCCTCAAAAAAAAACGCATGACTTCTCGCTCGCTTTGGCCGAAGTCGGGCAAAGTTGCAACGTTGCAGAAGTTGTCGTGCGAATTTTGCGGGCTGCGCCGGGACTATGGCGATTTTTTAGGGCTTACCTAGCATTGTCCAAGAAGACTAGGTACACTAGAAACAGGGGTAGGGTACGACTCTATAGGTGCCCTTAGCATCAAAATAGCCCAAAAACCTCCTATAATAGGGCCTTTGGGCCCAAAAATCATAAAATATGAGTCCTGTGGGGGTTAGGGGTAGTCTAGTTCACACCGAGGCACTGCATCCAGCGAGGAGTTCGCAGGCTCAGTGGCCAGAAGCCCAGCATCCTTTGTCTCAATCACGGTTTAGGGTTTAGGGTTTAGGGGTTTAGGGTTGATGGTTTGGGGTTTAGGGGTTTAGGGGTTTAGGGTTTAGGGTTTCAAGCTGTCGCGCTCGGGGTTTCACTTGGCTCTCCGCTGCTTCGGAAAATATCAAAGGGCACTGCCTGCATCCCAAAACCCTACAACATAGTAGGTTATGGCCCCTTAATCGTAGGGTAGAACCCCTACAACAATACTTTTTGTGGATCCCCATGTACCGTAAACCCCAAACCTTCATAGCCCTAAGCCCTAAACGCAAAGAACCTCAAGACCTCCTCACCCTCATGCCCCTGAACCTTGCTGAAGAGAGTATGGTTTAGGGTTTAGGGTTTAGGGCTATTAGGGTTTAGGGTTATACCGGTTTAGGCTTCGGGGCTTAGGGATATCGCGAGGACCCTTAAGATCGGACCGATCAGTTTGAGAAGACCCCCTTTCCCAAAGGCTCCATGTACCTTTATAGTAGATACTAAGGCCTTAAGAGGGTGCCTATATAGGTACTTTAAGGCCTAAGTATCTACTATATGGGTACATGGAGCCTTAGGGTTTTCGGTCCAGGCCACATCGTCCGTGCACGCCACACTCTGGCAGAAAAGTTGGCCATCGGCCGACTGGGCTGGAAGCTTGGGAAATCTTGAGAATATAGATGGGTAGTTTTCTAAATTAGGGTCCCTTTTGGGGCTCTTATTATAAGGGTGCCGTACTAGATTGGGTACCCAAAAAAGAACCCTAATTTAGAGAACTACCCAGATATCTTTTCTGTGTTTCTTAAAGATCTGTTTAGGGTTGAGGGGACCTTTTCTACGGCTCTAAAATGCTCTTGCTGAGGAGTCGTGTATGGTCTTCGCGTGAACTCCAAGTGGAAATCATGGCACGCTCCGGCGGGCCCCATCCCTCACATCTCTAGGATTCTGAACGCTGTCTCATCCGCTTGGAAGAGGTGGGGAAAGGGACTCTTCCCCAACCCTGGTCAACCTTGTCTACTCGTGTCAATAGGATACTTTTGTAGGCCTACGCCTAAGTATGTATTTTCTAGGTAACATCTCTGTACAAAGCCGGAATGTTGAAGTGTACATGCACCGTTCGAGCAGGCTCGATACCATGGAAACTTCAATAGTAGACAGTTCACAGCAGTATCTACCCTAAACCCTACACCCCTAGACCCCAACCCTCCAGGTACCCACTATATGGGGTACTAGAGCCTCTAGGGCACTGTGCCAATGTAGTAGGTACCTGGAGGGTTAGGGCTAGACCCTAAACCCTAACTGTACGAACTGCAAGTTTTCCCACGGTTCCATGCATCGGGATGCCTTCAAAGGGCAGTCAGACACTTCTCAACGGAGAGTCCCTAGACGGGGGGGATATTAGAGGTCTCGGTGTTCGGGAGTAAGGTTCGGGATGAAGGTTTACTTGGAGGCTTAGGGGACTTAGTAAGTCGGCTATAAGTGGGGTTATAATTGGGGTAACTCCATTTAGTGTACTTATAACTCTACTTATAACCTACTTACTAAGTCCCTTGCACCTCTAAGTAAGCCCTGAACCCTAAACCCTAAACCCTAAACCCCTAAACCCCTAAACCCCTACTTACTAAGTCCCCACCGGGCCTCCAAGTAGGAAGGTGGAGTGGGGTTTCTTGGGGAAGTCTGAAGGGTGATGAGGGCACCCAGCTTTAGGGTTCAGGGTTCAGGGTTTAGGGTCTAGGGTTGAGGGGTGTAGGGTTGAGGGTTTAGGGTTTGAGAGTTTAGGGTTTAGGGGTTTAGGGTTTAGGGTTTAGGGTTTGGGGCGAAGATTAGGGCGATTAGGGTTTATGCCTTGACACGCGGCACGTGCTTGCACCTCGGGATCTTCGCCATCCGCCTCCTCCTTGGATTCCGGCAACTTGAGCTTTCGTGTCCATTCCATCTCGAGCCGAATTTATAGCACTTTTTTTTGCGGGATAGCCCAGTTTACAGTTGGGGTTTCCTTACAAGACAACGAGGTAGCACAGGAACTTTGATGAGTAGGGCTTGGGGTACAGTGTAGTATCGTTGTGATAAGGAGCCTCCAGTAATGGTACTATATGCCACGGATCCCGACTACTATCCCTAAGGGTCCAAAGGACCCATAATCATGTACTTAGGTTTCGGATAGTAGTTTTTCGGGTTAGTAGTCAGAAGATTCTATGATTATTAGGTACTTGGACCCTTAGGGTATAGTACTAAACCCTACACCCTTCCATAGCACCTTTAGAAGCCTTGTAAGGGAAGTCTGTAAGAGGACCCAATATCGCACATATCAGCTCATTGCCTCCAAACCTTTGGATTTTCGAATTAAACCGGAGACAGTCCGATAGCCCAAACCCGAAAGCCTGAACCCTGAAACCCGAAACAATACGGATTAGGGTTTAGGATTTAGGGTCTAGGACTTAAGGCGTAGTTTCGGGTTTAGGGGGTACCTGCCCCCTTTGCTCATGTGCCCAATCCTGAGGTCCTGGCCAGAAGCAAAAAGCCTAACAAAGCCACTACGACAGCCCCAACCTTTGAACTTACAACGTGAAGACCCAAGCCCATAATGTAGGGTCCTTGGTAGTTAGGATACTAGGGTCTGGGTCCCCCTTATAGTATACTTATAATATAAGGGGAAGCCTAGTACCAAGGGATGATAGGGGGAATCCTGTGGTCTTCTCTAGTATTCCGAAAAATCCCTAAACCCCAAACCCTAAACCCCTCCCGACTCCCAACCCTAAACCCTAAACCCTAAACCCCTCCCAGATGCCTGGCTGAAGGGCTGCGCCAGCATGGCCGCCACACCTGAAAAAAGCGAAAGAAACCCTTCTCCCTTAGGCTCCATGTACCCATATAGTAGATACTTAGGCCTTCAAGTGCCTATATAGGCACCCCTGTAAGGCCTAAGTATCTGCTATAAAGGTACATGGAGCCTTTGGGTCTGGTAGTATGAGCAGCGGCAGCACACTTTCAGAAGTCTGACGACCGTCGAGGAGGGTCTGTCAAACACTGCGAATTATACGCATATCACATATATATATATATATGTATGTATATATATATAGATGTATATATGTATATATATATATATATATTATATGCATGTATGTATGTATGCATGCGAACATAGCTGTATATGTATATATGCATGTGCATATACGTGTGTATACCATTACTACTAGTAAAACGGTTTCATTTCATATTGTTATTTACACATGTATGTACACATAAACACATTCATGTACATACAAAGGAGACTCACTAAGTTCTAAACGCACTAAATCCTGAAGACACAGAGTTGCCGGTTTGCAGCCTTCCCTGAACTAATGATTGCCAGAAACTCGGAAATCGTTTTACAAAGGAAAGGTCGAATTCTGCAAAACTCGGCCGTGAACCTGCGCGCTTAACCTCATATTCAGAGAGGCCGAGGCCTGTTTAATGAAGGACATCAGCATCCAGGAGTTCAGAAAATCCGGACCTCCCAGAAGAACGAAAACCAAGGCGTCAAATGATGCTAGATGCTTCTTTCAAGCACCCCTGGACAGGGCGCCATCATCTCTGAAACGCTCGTTATAAGACCCTTCCAAGCCTTGCACTATCTCCTTAGTACCTCTGTGCAACCATACCATCACATATCCTACCACTCTGTTCGAGTTACCAAGGCCCCTGTACTACCCCGCCATTGAGGGTTTGTCGACTCGAGACAGGGCATTACCTGGCGGCCATGGGCTACACAAATTTCGGGTACTAAATGGCACTGTTCCTTAAAGCTGTTCCTAGATCATGTCCACAGACACAGCCCCTTACACCCTCGAATGTAAAGCTCTTGACTCGTTTGCGAGTATGGGACGTCAGCCAGAAAAACAGCAGGCTTTGTGTCGCAGTGAAATGGTGAAACGGTCTGCAAGTAGTAAACTTCCGTCACAACCTAAATCCCAAACCCTAAATACTAAACCCTAACCCTGAACCCTACACTCCCACTACACCCTAAATCCTAAACCCTTAACGCCCGATCAATCACACGAATTTACAAGTCCCAAACAGCCTAAAGCCCAAAATTTCTGAGAACACCCAAACCCTTGAGTGCGCTGCTGTAGCCCATTTCTGCAGCTCCTCTGAAAAGCCTGTGATGGCTGAGGTTTGGGGATCAAGGATTTAGGATTTAAGGTTCAGGGTTAAGGGCTATACGTTTGAGGGTTTAGGGTTCCCTAACCCTCCAGGTACCTACTATATAGGGCCTTAGGGGCTCTAGTACCCTATATAGTAGGCAACTGGGGGCTTAGGGGTTTACGGGTTTAGGGTTTAGGGTTTAGGGTTTAGGGATGAGGGATCAGGCGTTCAATCCCAAGCCTGGGTCCCGCAAGCCCCGCAAGAGCCTGCAGGTCCAGTTTCTTAGGAAACTAGAGGTTACAGGGTTTAGGCTTTAGGGGTTTAGGGTTTAGGGTTTTAGGGGTTTCGGGTTTAGGGCTTTAGGGGTTTAGGGTTTAGGGCTTTAGGGGTTTAGGGCTTAGGGCTCCGGGTTTTTAACTCCTGGGATGATATAGGGAAGATGGTGACCCCCAGAAGGTTGAAGGTCACCTAAACTACTACTGAGACCCTAGACCTTAAACCCTAGACCCCCAAACCCCAAACCCCTCAACCCTAAACCCTAAACCCTAAACTCCTCAACCCTAAGCTCTAAACCCCTAAACCCTAAACCCCTCAACCCTCGAAGAAGCCAAGGGCTGAAACTGCGACAAGTCGCCCGGAGAGGCTGAAATCCATCGAGCAAGTCTGCTGCAGCGGCTTGAAGATCCTTCGTAGGTACCACAAACCCTATAGAACCTATATACATCCCTTGAAGGAGCCCTTATAGGTACCCTGAAAGGAACGCTTGAAGGAGGTGTCAGAAAGTCATAGGTTTCAAAACTAGCTAAGTAAGACATCCATATACCTTAAACCATATGAAGGAGCATCTAGAGCTCTAACTCATAGCTCTAAGCCACTTGAGTGAAGTTCATGTACCTGACACCATGTGCGGCATGCATCTAGCGTAATTGGGTTCCTTTAGCCGAATTGAGAGGTTCGGGACGTCTCGGAGTACAGAAGCATCCCAAAAAGCACCGAAGGTCCATGCCTTGCTCTAGCCAAGGAAAACACTCCCACAAGACAGACTTGAATTTTTAAAGGAGCCTAGACCCTAAACGACTAACTGATGATAGCCATCTGCTGAGCTGCTGCAAATATCGCTCTTAAAGCGAAACGCAATGGCTTCCTAAAACGGCGCCTTAAAGTATGGCTGTAGAGGAACCTGATTTAGAAACCCTGGGTCTTAAGTGAATCCCAAGAGTTATCTCAATATTTGGGATTATGGGCTCAGGGTCTCGTAATCAGGCCCCTACACTGCCACACGATGATCCCCACATGTAACCGTATGCTCTCCTCATCCACAATGACAAGAATCCCTAACTGCAAAGTAGCTCTAAACGAACAGTATATTCATGTTATAAGCTCTTCGAAGAATCCGAAAGCTCCAAGCAATATGTCTACGGATGTATGGACCCTTGGTTGGGTTCTTGTTAAGGGCTGTAAGGTAGGTTGCCAACATAATGATCTATCGTATATAACATGGCTTCTTTATTATGACGACGTAAACTAAAACCCTTGACAAGAACCCAGTAGAACTCCAAAACGCTTAAACCCTAAACCCTCAACCCTAAACCGTAGAACTCAAAAACACTTAAACCCTGGACCATGGTAGATCCCTTCTGTAAGACCTCTTGTAGATCCCCTGCACCCTAAACCCCTAAACTCCGGAACCCCTAAGCCCTAAACCTCCCTCTAAACCCTGAACCCTAAACCTCCGAAGCCCGAAATTCATACCCTGGTAACCTAAACCCTAAACCCTAAACCCTGAACCGGTAGGAACTTAGTATTGAGCAGGTGGCTTTGCATTGCAGCTGGAGATGTAGCCGGGCGAGGACGCACCTCGAACCCCAGTTGAAAGAAGTCCAAGGCTTTGGGTTTTTTTTTTTAAGGGCCCTTTTCCACACTGCAGAACAGGTTGGAATTCCTTACCAGGAGGAGCCTGTTATTGGGGCCTCGTGTTGAAGAAGAAGAATCTAAGACAAGGGTGTAGGGTTTAGGCTTAGGGTTGAGTGGTTTGGGGCCTACCTTAAGAACCCAAAACCCACTTTTTTATAGGTTCTTGCTATAAACCCTAGTATGGGATTTATAGGGACCCTACACAAAAGTAGGTTTTGGGTTCTTAAGGTAGGGTTTGGGGTTCAGGGTTTGGGGGTTAGGGTTCAGAGGTTTAGGGCCTAGGGTTTAGGGTTTAGGGCCTTGGGTTCAGAGTTTAGCGTTTAGGGTTTAGGGTTCAGGGCCTAGGCCTCGGGTTCGGCTTAGGGCAAAGCGTTTAGTGGTTTAGGGCCTAGGGTTTGGGGCCTCGGGTTTGGGGTTTACTTAGTGTAGGGTTTCAGGTTTTAGGGATTTGGGGTTTAGGGGTTCAGATATTTACGGTCATGTAGGGAATGAACATAGTACCGGGTTTCAGGTACAGGCGACAGAGTAGCTTGGCCGAGGAGTGGTAAGTACGGATACAAGCACCCTAATGGCTGCGTGTTTCTACTGGGTTTCTGCTTCAGGACACCTACATAAACCCTAAACCCTAAACCCCTAAACCCTAAACCCTAAACCTTAAACTACAACCTTAAGTCAAAAACCCTAAACCTTAAACCATGAGCCCTAAACCTAAAACCTCGTTCAGCTCGACGCAGGTGAGTTCAAAGAAGCGAGTCTTCGGCTTGCCATAGAGATTGACACAGCTGCTGGTCCTAGGGAACTAAAGGTCAACGGTTGACATTGGGGATTAAGTACGGGTTATACAGGTGGTTGTCAAAATTAGGGTCCCTTTTTGTGTGTCCTTATAAAAATACGGCACCTATTATTTAGGGTACCCCAAAAGCGACCCTAATTTTGACAACCACCCATATAGTACCCCCAGAAGCTACATGCTACCAACTCTACTACTGAGTTGTTGAGGCGGTTTCACGGCTCAAGGGCTTAAGGGAAATTCTGTCCTCCGCTGCCACCCCACTTAAGTGCCCACTTACACTTTATAGTGCTTTGATCGTGGATTGCAAGGTTGCGGGCTTTTTAGGATTTAGTGGGCATCTATACATGTATGTATATGTATGTATGTATGTATGTATGTATGTATGTATGTATGTACGTATGTATGTAAGTATGTATGTAGGTATGTAGTATACGCATGTGTAGACCTGTATAAGTGCGTGTATAGAAAGGGCGCGGTCTCTACTGAAAACCGCTTAGTGGCTGCGCGAAAACAGCTCTAGCTCAAGATCCAAAAGATCTAAAAGGCGAGGCAGGATTCTGTCCACAAGCTTTTTCAGATTCTAGTGCCCCTGAAATGTCAAGATGCCCGCCTGATTCACCAAGCTCTCGAGGAAGTCGTCCTACCCCCAGCTGTTGCAGGAATGCATCCTCGGACGATTCCAAACACCCAAGCCCCCATCGGATCCTTTTGAGGGCTCCTTCCCTCTAGGATCCCTTTAAGGGTTTGTACAGGGGTTCCTTCAAGGGTCCATTATGTGTATATAATGCATATACTTATGCCTGCAGATGTACCGACCCAGGTACAATGTGGGCTTGCATCTGTCGAAGTTGGGATGCTGCGGGTTTGAAGGCCTTCTTTTCTGGGCATTTCTGGGCGGCTTTACCCTAAACTCCAACCCTAAAGCCCTAAACCCTAAATTCTAAAACTATCTAAGGAAAGCCCTAAACTCTAACCCTAAACCCCTAAACCCTAAACTGTAAAACGATCTAAAGAAAGCCCTGAACTCTAACCCTAAACCCCTAAACCCTAAACTCGTAAAACGATCTGAAGAAAGCCCTAAACTCTAACCCTAAACCCCCAAGCCCTAAACTCTAAAACGATCTAAAGAAAGTCCTATATTCTAACCCTAAACCCCTAAACCCTAAACTCTAAAACGATCTAAAGAAAGCCTTAGTCCGAGGTCCCCAAACCCTGAAACCTGCCAAAGCCCTACCCCTGAAGCTGTAAGTTTAGGGTTTAGCTAGGGTTTAGGGTTTAGGGTTTAGGGTCTAGGGTTTAGCGTGCCCTGGCCTGTAAAAGATTAAACGTTCAATTGGAATAACCCGAAGAGAGATCAGCTGCATCCCCAGTGAAACGGAACGCCAAACCCTAAAGTCCAAAGCCCTAAACCCTGAACCCGAGCTTACCTACCTATGCCTTCAGCTACAAGGCTAACCCAAAGGGTGCAAGTACTCCCTATTGTACGACTAACAGGGCTTTCGGGGCTTTTTCTTGGTACCAACAACCCTCAACCCTGAGGGTAATGTAGGGGCCTTAATTAATAGTTAGAATAGGGTTTTGGGGTATACTACTATAATTACAATAAGGAACCCCGCAAAATAGTATTGGTAATTATTCAGGCTCCTATATTGGGTGGCCTTTCGGCTTTCCCAAGATGGGCCCTAAACCCCAAGCCGGCCCCAAGCCCTAAGAGGTCAAAGGTCACAAGTCTTAGGCACTTCTAAATATCTCGTAGAACCTAAACCCTAAACCCATAAACGAGCTGAGGACTTTACTGGGTTTGTCGTGTCTACATAGCCTACATAGCTATAACAATCGGATCTTATAGTGCAAAATCAGGAACCAGCACCCTATACTAATCCATCAGCTCTCAGCATGAAAATCTCAACCTCAAACCCTTCAAGGAACCCCATACACCAAGCCTTCAAAGGAACCCTAACCCTCAAAGGAACCCTAAACCCCGAAGCACAAACTCAAAACCCCAGGAGCTTTATCCACGAGTTTCTTTTTCCTTAATACAAGGGCGCCCTTTAAGGTTACCATAAGACTCTACTACAGGAGCCTTCATGATCGGAACGGATTTTCCGAGGGGTATATGTTGGTATACTTGAAAGGAACATTCTGGGGATAATGCTGTTAGTTCTTCCGACGCCTACATTAAGCCGCCAAGAACGCACACAAGTAACACCGTAGGGCATGCGCCTTGCTGATGAGGCATCCCTGCTGCTGTTGTGACTGTGACCCGCTTAAACCCCTAACCCTCAAGTGTAAAACGTAGGCCCTAAACCCTAAACTATAATTAGACCCCAACCCACTAAAACGAAGGCCCTAAACCCTAAACTCTAAAGTATAGCTAGACCCTAAGCCCACCAGGCTGAACACTCACTGTAGAGATGATCTCTCGCCTCTTAAAGCACCCTTGTGGAACCTCTACAAATATAGAGCCCTTATAGATTCCGTCTATAGTAGCACCCGCTTAGTGCGAACCCCGAAAGGCCAAGCATCAGACCCTAAATCCTAAACTGCTGAAGCACTAAAACAATCTAGACCCTAAACCCTAAACCCTAAACCCTAGACCCCTAGTAGCCCTAGACTCAAAGTCCCTAACCCGCGCGCATACACACGCCCAGACACGCGCATCCACACCCTGAAGTCCTATAACCACCTGAGTTTAAACCCTAAACCCTAAACCCGTCGACAGGCCAAAAGTCCGCAAAGTCCAGGCTGTTGTTGTGGATCGCATTGAACTCTGAGCCTGGTTGGAAGGTGCTAAGACGTAGAGGGTCTTCTAGGGGTTGGTTTGGGCTTTAGGGTTTAGGGTTTGAGGTTTAGGGTTTGGGGTTTAGGTTTTAGGGTCTTGTAGGGGTTGGTTTGGGCTTTAGGGTTTAGGGTTTAGGGCTTAGGATTTAGAGGGTCTTGTGGGGGTTAGTTTGGGCTTTAGGCTTTAGGTTTTGAGGTTAAGGGCCAGGGCCTAGGGTTAAGGCGCAACTTTTTAACTTTAGATTGCGGCGCTGAACACCAGAATCACAAGTCTTTACATCCCAATCCACAAGTGAAGTTCTCCAAGCACCCTAGGAAGTAGTGGACAGCCGTCCTGACTCCTGAGATACCGGAGCACCGCTCGGTTTAGGGTTTAGGGTTTAGGGTTTTGGCCACGGTTTAGGGTTTAGGGTTTAGGGGCTCGTTCGTGCCCTTCTTGAGGAGACCCCTCGCCAGAACAGGCACGAAGTGGACGAGGTGCTCTCGCGTGGCGCGCCGAGATGCTTCGACTGAATCTGGCTGCGACTTCGACAGACAAAGTAAGATACCGTGAAGAACACCCTCTTGAACGTCAAGCTCTCTTCTTTCAGGTATCCAAACGTCTGCAAACGTCCTCCTTCCTGAGCACCTTACAGATCGTCGCAAGCGCATGCATGACTTAGTTAGTCTGCGCTGCCGTTGTGGGCGGAATGACCGGCTGCGCGCGAGTCCGCTTCCCGGTTTCTTGCAGGATCTTGGTGGTGTGTCAGGTTTAGGGTTTAAGGTTTAGGGTCAGTTTGCGCTTGGATTCGACGTCGAGGCCCCGATACATTCGCTTCTCAAAGTGCGAGAGGACAAACTCGGATTTGAACATCTCCTCTGTGCTCGAAACCCACATTGTAAACCGCTCAAAACCCCCAACAGGCCCCAGAGGTACCGCCACAGAAACAAAACCCTAAACCCTTAAATCCTCAAGCCCCCGAACAACCGAAGCCCTCAACCCCCAGAACAGAAATTCATAAACTCTAAAAACACCCTTCAAAAAACCCTAAACCCTCAAATTCGCGAGACCCAAAGCTCTAAACCCTAAACCCTAGAATCCGAAAACCCAAAGTCTTTTTGAAGAAGGCAAGCACTGTCATGCTTGCGACTTTGCGTGCACCCTGGGCGAATGTGAAGGCGATCTTGGCCACAGCAAGGCATGCATCGCACAACTCCAGCTCGATCTCATGACGTCTGTCTACAACAAGCGCACCGGGTTTCAAGACCTCGCGAGCATGCTCTATCTCGTCCACACTGTACTCGGGCTCGTGGTTCTTGTCGAGATTCTGAGATGGTGTGTCAAGAGGATCTTTTCTTGTCAGGCCGAAACCTGCATCGCCCACTCACGGCTCTGAACCGCAGGTGTGCGATGCGTCGACGAGATGCGAGGCATGGTTTCACACCATCCGGCCACAGCCCAAAAACCCCCGAAAACCTATATCATCAAGGTCTTGAAAACAGAAATCATGAGAAGAAGCCACAAAAAGGTAGGGTTTTCAAGTGTTAAGGAAAGTCCTAAACTTTCAAATCCTAAAACCCTGAGCCTTAAACGGAAACCCCAAATCCCAACATCCCAAAACATGAACCCCCAAATCCCTAAACCCTGCGCCCTTGACCCCAAGATCATCCAAACACCTAAAGCTTTAACCGTACGTGTCGAGTATTTTCGGGGAACTAAAGACATAACCTTTCGGATCGTAAAGGGAGTAAAGTACGCCAACTAAGTTAAAGGCTACCAAAACTCTACTGTTAGGTTTCAAGGCAGCAAATCAAAACTTTGAAGAATGGTCTTGGAGGGTTCCCCGGGAAGGTTTCTGCTGCACCTCCCCTGTACTTGTGCCCCCGGCTTCAAGCCCAAAGGATCCTACGTACCTTTTTGGGGGATACTTCAGGGTTTGGGGTTGAGGGTTTAGGGTTTAGGGTTTAGGGTTCAGGGTTTAGGGTTTAGGGTTTACCCAAACCATAAAAGAAATTCCTACGATAAAAACCCTACCTTCTACGATTTAGGCACGTAGGGAAACCCTCATTTTAGCCGTTATAGTACCCTGGCCCTGAACCCTGAACCCTAAACCGAAAACTAAACCCAAAACCCTAAAGCCTACACCTAAAACCTAAAACCGTAAACCCTAAAACCCTAAACCCCTAAACCATAAACCTAAAAAACCCTAAAACCTAACACCCTAAACCCTGGATCCTAAAACCTAGAACCCTGAACCCTCGATCCTCAAACCCTGAACCCTCGATCCTCTAGGAAGAGAAACCCTAAACCCAAAAACTCTAAACCCAAAACCTAAAAACTCTAAACCCTAAAACGCTAAAACATTAAACCCTGGATCTAAAACCCTAAAACCTAAACCTAAAACTACCCTGAAATCCTAGAACCCCGAACCCTGGATCCTCTAGGAAGAGAACAACACCCTAAGGGTCCAAGTACCTAAGAATCATACATCTCTCCCAAATATAGTAACCTAGATGACTACAATCCGCAACCGAAGTACATGATTGTTACCCTAAAGCCTACACCGAAAACCCTAAAACCCTAAACCC